AGTAGTAGTAGTAGTAGTAGTAGTAGTAGTAGTAGTAGTAGTAGTAGTAGTAGTAGTAGTAGTAGTAGTAGTAGTGGTAGTAGTAGTAGGTGCAGTAGTAGAGTAGCAGTAGTTACCCAATCAGAGCTTGCCTCTGTAGGGGTCCTAGCGGATTAATGGGTTAGGTGAGGTTTGTCGCCGATTTCGGTGGCCGGGCCCGGGTGCCCGGGTGCCCGGTGCCCGGCGGTGCCCGGGTGCCTGGGTGGCCGGTGAGGTGCGTGGCCGATTTCGGTGGCCGGGCCGGGGTGCCCGGGTGCCCGGTTTCCCGGGGGTGCCCAGGTGCCCGGGGGTGCCCAATAGCCCAGTAGCCCTATAGCCCCATAGCCCTATAGCCCTACAGTCGTATAGCACTATGGCCCTATAGCCCTAGAGCCCTAGAACCCTATAGCTCCAGAGTCCTATAGCCCTATAGCCCTATAGCTCTGGAGCCCTATAGCCCTATAGCCCTAAGGTTCTATAGCCCCTATAGCCCAATAGCCCAATAGCCCTATATCACTACACCCCGATAGCCATATAGCCCATATAGCCCCACTGCCTCAACAAAAATCGGATTGGGTTTTTTTCTCCGGTATCATAGTCGTATAAGTAGTAGGGCGTAGTAGTAGTAGTAGTAGTAGTGGTAGTAGTAGTAGTGGCAGCAGTAATAGTAGTAGTAGTAGTAGTAGTAGTAGTAGTAGTAGTAGTAGTAGTAGTAGTAGTAGTAGTAGTAGTAGTAGTAGTAGTAGTAGTCAGTAGTAGTAGTAGTAGTAGTCGTAGTAGTAGTAGTAGTAGTAGTAGTAGTAGTAGTCGTCGTAGTAGTAGTAGTAGTAGTAGTAGTAGTAGTCGTCGTCGAAGTAGTAATAGTAGTAGTAGTAGTAGTAGTAGTAGTAGCAGTAGTAGTAGTAGTCGTAGTCGTAGTAGTAGTCGTCGTAGTAGTAGTAGTAGTACTACTACTACTACTACCACGATTTCGATTGCTAGCGCTACCACTACTTCAACTATGGTTACAACAACTATAATTATTACTATTACTGGTACTGCCAGTGTTACTGTTTATGCTACGCTTACTCTCATTGTCACCCTGACTCTTGCTCTTATTAGTATTCTTACTCTTACCTAGTTTTTATTTCTGCCACTGCTACTACTACTACTCCGACTACTCTTACTCCTACTCCTACTACTACTACTAGTACTACTACTACTACTACTACTACTACTACTACTGCTACTGCTGCTGCTGCTGCTGCTGCTGCTGCTGCTACTACTACTACTACTATTGCTGCCACTACTACTGCTACTACTATGACTATTGATACTATTCTAACTGCTACAAGTTTTGTTACAACTACGACTCCTTCACTACTACTACTACTACTACTACTACTACTACTACCACTACTACTACCACTACTACTACTAGTACTACTACTACTACTACTACTACTACTACTACTTCTACTACTACTACTACTACTACTACTTCTACTACTACTACTACTACTACTACTACTACTACTACTACTATTACTGCTGGCACTACTGCTACTACTAATATCACTACTAGTACTACTGCTGCTACTAGCACTACTGGTACTACTGTTACTATTACTATTACCACTGCGATCACTGCAACTACTACTTTTACTACTACCACCACCACCACTACTATTTCTATCACTACTTCTACTTCTACTACTACTACTGCTGCTGCTGCTGCTGCTGCTGCTACCGAGTGCGCAACATATGGTGCACTCAATCTCAGGCCGTTGTGTCTTCAGGCGCCGAGAGCGCCACCATTGACGCAACCAATAGCAGGTTGATGTTTGTTTCTACAGTCAATTGCGCAACCCTTGGGGCAACCAGTAGCGTAGCAGGCAACACTATTTGCGGCAGCCGAATCAGCAACCTCTGTCGCAACCAATCGCAGTTTGTATCTCTGGTAAGCGATGGTAGAGCCGATGCTAGTTTCTTCCATGGTGCTAGTTACGCCGCTCGCTATTCGGGCTGGCGGTGGGGACCTGCCGGCGAGGTGCCTTGTGTTCTGTCGGGTGCAGGCACTGAGGAGGAGGACGAGGAGGAGGAGGAGGAGGAGGACCAGTGTAAAGCCAAGACGCATCAACGATGTTGCAATAACCACTTCCTTCAAGTAGCCTCTTCATAGGACCCTGCAATCATTTCTTTTCACTGCGGGAAGTGCCCCGTTGGAAGGTGACCGTCTGAGATTCCTAAATCGTTCCAGAACGCAATTCCTGGGACTTCAGCGTCACGCATCAACGTGCCTGTTGCGTCCTGACAGTCCTAACTCGTGCCAGAATACCACTCCTGGGATTCCATACAAGCGAATCAACATGGCGATTGCGTCCTGACTGTAGTAATTCGTGTCAGAACACCGTTCTTGTGACTACAGTTTTACGAAACTTTGAAGCTGCTGCGAACTGTTCAAGCGAATGAGCGCGGCGCCAAGGCGAGGACCACATTGTGAGGGCGAATCACCCTCCGTCTTTGATTATGCTACAACACTTTACATCGGGTGCGCGCGGCGATAAGGCGAGAACCGCATTTCGAAAGCCACCCTCCCTCTATCCTTGAAGCTGTTGCGAATCCCAGTCTTCAGGATCATACGTGGTGAGGCAGCCTCAGGCGAACCCCCCCCAGCCCGCCCCACCGACGCGTCTGAGGGTGCGACAGGGTGACGTTCTGCATACGGGAATGGGATGGAGGAGGAAGAGGAGAGGCAGGAGGGATGAGGCGGTGAAGGAGGAGGAGGAGAGGGAGGACAGGGAGGAGATGGAGGAGAGGGAGAGGAGGAGCAGGAGGAGGAGGAGCAGGAGGAGAAGAGACAGGGCAACCAGGAGGAGGCGGAGGAGGAGGAAGAGGACGAGGAGAAACAATGGGGGGAGGAGGAGGAGGATGAGGAGGAAGAGAGGCATGCTGATGATGATGCTGCTGATGCCGATGATGATGATGATGATGATGATGATGATGATGATGATGATGATGATGATGATGATGATGATGATGATGATGATGATGATGATGATGATTATGATGGTGGTGGTGGTGATGCTGATGATGCTGATGCTGCTGATGATGATTGTGCTGACGATGATGATGATGATGATGATGATGATGATGATGATGATGATGATGATGATGATGATGATGATGATGATGCTACTGATGATGATGCTGACGATGATGCTGCTGCTGATGATGATGATGCTGGTGCTGGTGCTTGTGCTGGTGCTGATGCTGAGGAGGAGGAGGAGGAGGAGGAGGAAAGCCAGAATATGAATGAGGAGGAGGAGGAAGAGGAGGAGGAAGAGGATGAGAGGAGGAGACAAGCTAGGTGCGCTCGCCTCATATTTGACGTCCTACCCCTCCCTCCCATTCCTGGCCATGGCGTAGATCTCCTCTATTCGCACACTCGGATGTCGTAGCATGGCATAGCATTACATGGCATAGCATGGTGTGGAAGATCAACGCGTAGCATGACATAACATGGCGTGGCGACGCCCCAAAGTGGGGGTAGGGGGGGGCTTCTGCGGCCCAAGCAATGAACGAATCGACACCGAATGTGTAATCACTTCCTATGCTTGTTCTGGAGGTAATTTTCTAGATTTTGGGGCCTGTGGCATGACACTGGAAGTAGTGATGCCAGCGCTGCAGCGTGGGCACGATTCGGGACGAGCGGAAGCGCGGAAACGGAAGCGCGGAAATGAGGCCAGCGCTGCAGCGGGAACACGATTCGGAACGATAGGAGAGGCGGAAATGAGGCTGGCGCTGCAGCGGGAGCACGGTTCGGAACGAGTGGAAGCCCGAAGATGTAGCCAGCGCTTCAGCGGGATCAGCATTTTGAACACAAACCCGAGCCAAAACCCAGTTCCCGGGAAGCCTGCGTGTAAACAACAATACGCGGATGGGCGCCAGAGATCTTCGGGACGTCATCAGGGGAGAGAGGCGAGTAGTACTCATCTTGTGTAATTGTAGAAGAGGGAGGAGAGAGGAGGAGGAATAATAGGAGGAGGCGGAGGAGGAAGAGGAGGAGGAGGAGGCGGAGGAGGAAGGGGAGCATGAGGAGGAGGAGGAGTAGGAGGAGGAGGTGAGGGAGGAGAGAGAGGATGAGACGAGGACGAGGATGATGAGGAGGATGAGGATGATGATGTTGATGATAATGATGAGGAAGATGAGGATGAGGATGAGGATGAAGCTGAGGATGATGATGATGCTAATGCTGATGCTGATGAGGATGGTGATGCTGATGATGCTGCTGCTGATGATGATGATGATGGTGATGCTGATGTTGCTGCTGCTGATGATGATGGTGATGCTAATGATGATGCTGCTGATGATGATGATGGTGGTGGTGGTGGTGGTGGTGATGATGATTGTGCTGCTGCTGGTGCTGATGATGATGTTGATGATGATCATCATCATCATAATCATGCTGCTGCTGATGATGATGATGATGATGCTGATGATGATGATGATGATGATGAGGATGATGATGAGGATGCTGATGAGGATGATGATGACATGAGGAGGAGGAGGAGGAGGAGGAGGAGGAGGAGGAGGAGGAGGAGGAGGAGGAGGAGGGAGGAGGAGGGAGGAGGGAGGGAGGAGAGAGGGGGAGGGAGGAGAGGTGGAGGAGGAGGAGTAGGAGGATGAGGAGAGGAGGAGGAGGAGGAGGAGGAGGAGGAGGAGGAGGAGGAGGAGGAGGAGGAGGAGGTGCAGGGGGCGGGGGCCGAGGAGGCCCGCATGGCAGGACCGGACCTCCCCTGGTGGCCGGGAGTACTGCATGGACTTCAAGGCTGGGAGGTGCTCCCGGGGCAGCGCGTGCCGCTTCTCCCACGGTGACGCGGACGGCGGCGGCGGCGGCGGCCGCGATCGCGGTGACGACCGCGGCGGCGGCGGCGGCCGTGACCGGAGCAGGGGCGACCGTCGCTCTCGGACCTGAGGGGAGGAAACAGTACCGACCCAGGCTCAGAAGCCCAGTGCGGACGCTTTTCGCAGTTTTTGGCCCTGGGATCCCTTCCGGGGCCCTGGGAGCGTCGAAAAACGACCTCGGGATGAAGAGCTGGCCCTGGGGAAGAGGTCCAGACCTTTGGAGGGCCCGCGTTGAAACACTCAGGACATCGGATGTCTGGGGATACCGCTACGCTGATTACCCTTACCTCGTTTTTGCTTCTTGATGCCTCAGGAGCCCTCCGTCGGCACGGCTGGACTCGCCTCGAAATCCTGGTCAGCGCTCACCCTGGGAGAGGTCCGGGGAGTAGCAGTGTATCGTTCCCTCCAGTCATTGCCCCCCTTCAGGAGCAGGGGCCGCGACCGCGGGCGCGGCGAGCGTCGCCGCCGGTGCGACAGCCGCGACGACCGCCGCAGGAGCCCATGCGTCCCACAGGGGGTCCGAGCAGATGGGGTCGTAGGGCCGCGCCGACCATGGGCGATGCATCCGCGATGCGGCGCGATCCCCTGGTCCCATCTCTAGTCAAGCCGCTGAGATTCGGCACAATCGGAATGGGTAGGCAAGGGATGTGTACGAAGGCCGACATCAGCTCCAGTCCATTTTGAACAGGACTCGCTGTCAGCGTTGCCGCGGACGTTGCCCATTTGAGACAGAAGGCCGCCTGCGCAACAGCGGCAGCTGTTGGATTTTTTCCGTACCCACTTCGGGCGTCCAACGAAGTGAGCACAATTTGGGGCTCTGGAGGGCCTTGGTTTTCGGGCCGCCCCTCAGCTCTCGTGGCGGCCACAAAAGCCCCTTTGGCTCCTTGTTCGGCGCCCCTTCTCGCAGCACGGCGGCTGTGCTCGGACCCCCCTGTGGGAGGCCGCGGAGGAGGCGCAGCCCCAGCGACCTGTCGGACTCGAGGGACCGCGGCCGCGGCAGGCGGCGGCGCCGGCACTGATCGCAGGTGGGCCCCGTCGGGCGCCCCCGCCGCTCGGTGGTCCGCCCGAGGGCCCCGGCTGGGCTCCGGAGGGGCTCTGGTTTCCTGGCCGCTCCTCCATCACCTGGCATCGCTCGGACGTGTGCATTTTTTTTCTCGGCGAGGACCTTCGAGGAGCATCCTCGACCATCGAGCGAAATAACCACGCACGAAACCGAAAAAAGCTAGGGGAAATGGACGTCCGAGCGATGGTGAGATCAGACGTGCGGTCGGGCGGGGCCTGCTGGTGGCTCGGGCGCGCCGTGGCCCAGAAGAGCCCCGCCGTGCCGGATTTGGCGCCGCCCTCGGGGCGGCACGAGTGCTGCAGCGCTCGGAGGGCAGAGTGTCGGCGAGGAGGAGGAGGAGGCGGAGGAGGAGGAGGAGGAGGAGGAGGAGGAGGAGGTGGAGGAGGGGGGAGGAGGAGGAGGAGGAGGAGGAGGACCAGTGGAAACCCAAGAATCATCAACGATATTGGAATTAACCCTCCCTCCAAGCTCCCTCTACATAGGCTCCTACAACGCTTCATTTCCACTGAGGGAACTGCCTCGTTGCAAGACAACGGTTTGAAGATACCTGGAGCGTGCCAAAACATTGTTTTCGGGATTTCAACGCCACGCATCAACCTGACTGCTGCGTCTTGCCGATCCAGAATCGTGCCAGGACGTCACTTGTGGGACTTCAACACAGCGAATCAACATAACAGTTGCGCCGGCATAATCCTGAATCCTTCCAAACACCATTTCTGGTACGCTGATCATGTGAATTCGTGCAACCCTTGCAATTTTCTACAACGAATGTGCGCGGCACTAAGGCGAGAGCCACATTTTGAAAAGCACCCGCCCTCAATCCGTGAAGCTCTTGGAAATTTTGACAACGAATTTGCGCGGCGCTAAGGCGAGAGCCACATCTTGAAAACGACCCGCCCTCCATCTGTGAAACTGTTGTCACTTTTTAAGCTTCAGAGTCATACATGGTGCGGAAGTCTCTGGCGAGATGTCAGGCCCGCCCTGAAAAGTAGCCTCAGGATGCGACAGGGAGGAGTTTCCCGCAAGGAGAAGGAATGGAGGAGGTGGAGGAGGAGGAGGAGGAGGGGGAGGAGGAGGAGGAGGCACCGCCAGAGCGAGGGGCACACCGACGGTCTCGCGGCCCTGGCTCCTCGCGGCCTCGCGGCCCCGGGTGTGCAGGGCGGCCTTGCACGGATGCGCCCGGCGGAACGTAGAGTCAAGTCGTTGATGGAAGGGCCACTTCGGCCTGAGGAGGGGCTCTGGTCTTCGGGCCGTTCCTCAGGTCCAGGTCGGGGATCCCATTAGTGGTTGGGGCTCGCCGTGGGCAGAAGAGCCCCTTCATGCCTTGTTTGGCGCTCCCGCGTCTCGCGCGATGACTGTATCCATGGGATCGCGTATCCCAGACCGCGAGGGCATGGGATGATTATCCAAACATGCGACGTCTTGTGTTTTTCAATGCGCGGTCCTCGGAAGTCCCGTCCGTCCCTTCCCCCTTTTTTTTTTTTTTGTTTTTTTCTCGAGTGGTAGTTGGACGGTCCCGAGGCCCAGCGAGGGCCCCCAGAGGCCGAAATTTGTACTAAGAGCTTCCTGTCGTGACGTTTTCACGGCGCGAGCATGTCTCGGTATCCAGACGCGAAGGTGTGGATGTGGATGTTCAGGTCTTACAGATGGGGTCCGAGTAGATGGGGTTGGAGGATCGTGCCGCATCGTCGATACATTGGCGATGATTCTCGATATGGAGCCAGAGTTTCCCCGCGCCGACGTCGGTCAAACATCGCCGATGTCGCCTGCGATGCGTCGCGGTCTTTCGACCCCATCTGCTCGGACCCCATCGCCTCTGGGATGTGGATCGCCGCTTGTGAGGCAGGCTCCGGGGCAGGGAGCGTCCGCGGCCCGAGAGCCAGCGAGAGGGCGCGAGATTTTGGAGGTTGCGGTGATGATGGTGTTTGTGTGCCCCGTTACGCGCAGGGGTGGGCGCTCTTCGGTTTCTTTGGTCCCTGCTCCAGTTTTCGACTTCAGTCTCAAGGGCATGATCTCCAGCTTCACGGGCAACACATACATTGAAACATACAGCAAAAAGAACATTGAGTAGGCCATCTGATCAGGCCTTGCTTTCTGACGTTGCGGCGCTCCGGCGCCGCACCCGCAGCACCCTAGACGGTGCCCACGTGCGAGCGTGCTTCCGTGTTTCCGTGCTTCACAATGCCCAGCGTGCAGGCAACGCTTGGCGGGCAGACAAGGCAGCGCACGCCTTCTTCGAGGACCGGCACGCCAGCGAAGTCGCCACGCCGACGGCAGCGCGAAAGTGCTTCTTCGGCTGCAAGGTCACGGAGCCAATGGTGCGCGCTGCTTTTTGTCCACGAAGCTTGCAGCGCAGTGGGCTGGGTGACCGATGCGAGGCCGACCTTCGCCATGGAACCCATCCCGGTCAGGTTGGTACTATTCAACGCGAAGCTGTTCTACGCTTGCTCTTCGTGGACGCTTCGGGGAAGGCTTGAGTGCCGCCGATCTTGGCAACTGGTCGACCTGGGCAGCTGGCCGGGCCGCGGCCAAGACCCTGTCCTGCCCGCGGCCGGTGTTGCCCACCAGCAGGAGCGGCCCCTGGAAGCCTGTCCTTAGGTCGAGGTCGGCCCCCCGCAACGGGCGCGCCCTACGGTCGCCGCGCCCCCCTCCGCCGAGGGGCGGGCGCAGGCCGAGCGCCCCGCCGCGCTGCGCTCCGCGACCTCCGCAGCCAGGGTTGCCCGGGCACTGGGGCAAGGAGATGGAGTACGGCAGCGACGAGGAGTACGCCGCCATGCGCAGGCCCTCCTTGCCACGGCCATTGCAGCTCTGGCCACGCACTGCAGTCGGGCTCTATAGGGTCGCGCGGCCTCGCGGCCCAGCTGGCGGGCAAGGGCGCGGGCACGGGCAAGTGCGAGAGCAAGAGCAAGGACAAGAACAGTAACGATGACGACAACGCCAAGCCAAGAAGAAGGCGCGTCGTGGGGGCCAAGAGTTCAAGCGTCGGCGCGCGGCCGCGTCGTCGCGCGCAGCAGCCGACGCTGGCGAGGGCGAGAAATCACAGGAGGGCAATGCCGCAGCCTGTTTTCCCAGCGAGGAGGTTAAGATGCGTGGCCGTGGCAGGTCCCGCCCTCATGACCGTGATTGAGGCGGTGAGCTCGACTCATCAACCTCGCCCCTCCACGTGGCCCTGGACCACCCGCCTCGTCTGATATCAATGACAAGATTTCAGACGTTCTATCTGCAGTCCAGTGGTCACCAAACATGCTGCGCGCGCGGATTGGTGGAACTCGCTCCACCTTCATTCGTGTGAGCTCCCCGGGTGCCGCTTCGATTCGCACGAGCGAGCTCCCGACAGCTGGTGCCCCCGCCGTCTGCCGTGCCGCGCCGTCAGGCCAGGCAATGATAGAGCATCCCTGCTGAGTTGTGAGTGTGTTTGGGTTTGGACAGTTATTGTTCTCTTGTCCACGTTCTCGCGCCTTTGACAGAGTTGTTCGATCGATCGCGCAACCCCGACTGAAATCTGATCCTTTGCCGCCGTTTGACTTCAGCGCAGGCGCGTACAAAATGCGTTGATGAGTTGAGATACCGCAGGTCGACATCTCATTGCGAAGGCCTCACGGCAGGTGCCGCCGATCCTGAGAACGACGAAGATGAAAACGAGCGGGGGACAGGGGGAGGAGGATGAGTGGGAGGTGGAGACAGGGTGGAGGAGGCGGATGCGGGAGGAGGATGGGGGAGAAGGATGTGGAGGAGAAGCAAGAGGAGGAGGCGGAAGAAAACAGAAGGAGGGGGAGCAGGGGGGGGAGGAGGAGGAGGAGGAAGAGGAGGAGGAGGAGGAGGAGGACGAGGCCAGTGGCTTTCTTGGGACAGCTTGGGGCTCTCTGGAGGCCGTCTTGGGCCGTCCAGGGCTCCTTTTGCGCCGTCTCAAGGCACTCTTGGAGGCCTCCTGGGCAATTCGGGGCTCTCGTGGGTTTTCTTGCGGGAATCATGGGGGCCTCTTGGGCCGTCTTGGAAGCGTCTTGGGCCGTCTTGGGGCCCTCTTCGGCCGTTGGGGGGCCCTCTTGGGGGCCTTTTGGGCCGTCTCGGGGCGATCTTGAGGGCCTCTTGGGCCGTCTTGCCGCGTCGGGAAGCGGAAGAGGCCAGAACGCCCAAATCTTTCAAACACGTATGGGACATCCATGAATTTTGCCTCTTGGGGCTCTCGTGGGAAAGCTTCTGGAGGCCTCTTGGGGCGCTTTGCAGGCCTCTTGGGCCGTCTGGAGGCCGTCAAGGCGTCTTGGGCAGATCGTTCGGCGATTCGGGGTTCTCTTGGATTGACTTTCGGGCATCTTGAGGCACGCTTGGCCCGTCTTGGGGCCTTTTGGGGCTCCGGGAATTCCCGGGGGGGGCGTCGTATCTGACCCCCAACCGGGACCCCCGCCCCCCCCGGCGGGGGAGGGATCGAAGGGAAAGGCATTCCATTCGACTCAATTACGGCGTTGCTCAACTTCGCTTTGGTTGGCACGCTGAGGAGGTCCCTGGGAAAAGGGGGGAGCTTCGACGAGCCCAGGGAAAGGGTGAGGCAGGGAAAGGGGACGACAGAGACGACGACCAACGAATGACGGAGATGACGACTTGAACGTACAAGCCGTTCACACGCGCCGGCAGGCAGGGTCGGCGGATTCCCGCCGTGCTTTCTCTCTTCAAGCCCCCCCGCAGTTCGAGTTCCTCCTCGCCCCCTCTCCTAACATCTTCGCGCCGCGAAGAATTTGCGACGGGGGGTATTTTGCCATCTTCGACCTCGGGGCCCTTGTTGGGCCTTGGGGCCGTCAAAAAACGACCCGAGGTGATTCCCAGCCCCGGGGAGAGGGTCGTGACTTCTGGAGAGCGCGCATTGAACAAATCAAGACATCGCATGTGTAGGATGTGCCACACCGTCATGCCTGGCCAGGGCGTTCCGCGAGATCTGGGCGTTGCATTTTTTGGCATCGAAGCTTTTTT